TTCGGGCCTGGTCTAGTGAATTCTGGCATGTTCAGTGTAATTAACTTCCTGGCTATAGATTCCTAACCCTGAATGAAAGCGACATAAGCTTCTACCCAGGCCCCTGAAAAAAACCCAGAACCGGGGGGGAGGGGGGAGCAGGGATTTGGCCCGCAAAAACCTATAGAAACCTACCCAGGTGCCCCTAAACCCTAAACCCTAAGCCCTAAACCCTAAACCCTACACCCCCAAAGTCATTATGTAACAAGTGCTTTCTAGGGCTCGCCAAGGTCTTAGGGTGATAGGGTAGGGCTTACAGGGTTTTTAGAGATTTGGTTTCAGGATGCAGGGCATGGAGATAGGGTACAGGGTTGAGGGTTTTAAGGTGTCATGGTTTGAGGCGGCGGCGTCTTGTGCTCGATAAGATCATTGTTCCAGGGGTTTCGGGGTTTCTGAGCCCAAGACCCTAAACCCGAAAGCCCAAACCGTGCCGTGAACTCTAAACCCTAAGCCCTAAACCCTAAACCCTAAGCCCTAAGCCCTAAGCCCGAAGCCCGAAGCCCGAAGCCCTAAGCCCTAAGCCCTAAGCCCTAAACCCTAAACCCTAAACCCTGAACCCTAACCCTAAACCCCGAGCCCGTTCTCCCAAACCCAGGTTCAGGTGGGTGCCACTGCAATTGGACTGCAGCTGGACGATCGAGGGCGAAGCCGTCTAGAGCCCCTCGGAGGCAGCCCTAATTACTAAACCCTGAACCCTTAAACCCTAAAGCCTAAACCCTAAACCCTAAACCCTAGCCCTTTTGTCTTCTCGAAGGTCCATGTATCAGGGTTTACGAAAATACGGGACCCCTAATATAGCCCCCAAATACTAGGATTCCCTTGTAATAAGGACGACAATACGGAACCCCTGGTATATACTTGGGAGTTAAGCTTCGTCGTCGTGAGGTGACATTTTATATTTTTCACGGGTGCTTACAGACAATAAGGAATAGAATTTTACATTCTTAAATGCTATCCCAACCATGAACTAGTAAAGGGGTTTCAATGTAGTAGCTTTAGGCCCAACATCATCTACGATGTCGACTGATACGAGCTTCTGCGTTTATGGTTTGGGGCTTGGGATTTGCCGTTTCGGCTTTCAGGCTTAGGGTTCTTGAGATTTTTTAGGTGCAGGGCTTTGGGTAAGCTTCGTGCACTTCGAACAAGGACTTAAACAGTAATGTTTGGGGTATGTTTACCATGGACCATTGTTCCTTTGAACAGGGACTTAAACCAATACTTACTAAAAGGGTCAGAATACGTACCATTAGTCTTCCCGGGTGGTCAATTTATAACTTTACTATAGAAACCCCCAAAACCCCATTCTATGTTGGGGCATGTTTGCCATTGTTCAAGTTACGTTACCTTGAGTAGCGCTTTGAGGTCTAGGCCGGCGGCACGAAGAAAGACAGTGAAACCCAAAAAAACCCTAAAACCCTCAACCCTCAACCCTAAAACCCTCAACCCTAAACCCTAAACCCTAAGTCACATGAGCAACCCAGGTCCTCCCAGGCCATCCCACAGCTGCTGCAACAGGCCAGCCCAGCGGTTTAGGGTTTAGGGCTTGGGGGCGTAGGAGCTCAGGGGTTTAGGGGTTTAGGTGGTTTAGGGGCTTAGGGGCTCAGGGGGCTCAGGGGTGTAGGGGTTTAGGGGTGTAGGGGTGTAGGGGTGTAGGGCTTTAGGGGTTTTGGGTTTGGGGTTTAGGGTTTAAGGTTTAGAGTAGTCATGTAAATAGGGCTTACCTCTACCACCTCCCCCCCCCCCCCGGGGTACCCTTGAACAAGGTGCCAGGGGATGCCTATAGAAGTGGCTGCATGTTGGGTAGGTTGAAGCTTCAGGGTTTAGATTTCAACTCGAGTTTTGCAACTTCGGGCGCGTCAGGGTCGTGCGGTTGCGGCTTCCCATCTTGCTTTTCAAGGCTAAGTAGCCCAGCGGTAACCTTTTAATTTTGCTTTGGTATGGGTTTCCTTCTCAAGGAGCCAAGACAAAGGGTGCCCTTACCTACCAAGTTAGGCACGGTGCTTAAAAATATAGCTTGTCTTGTTATGAAAATCAAGTGCTTGCTACTCCGGCGACCGCTCTTTTCCGCTAGGTCTGGGAAACGGGAGACACGTCACTGGAGGCCGCGAGTTTGCTGAGAACCACAGTAGGGTGTTGGGATGCTAGAGCGTTAGGGTTTGGGGTGTTATCATGGGTTTCCCCGGTTCCCCCCTTTTATATCCTTAATTAGGCTTAATTATCCCTAAATAGCCTTAATTATGGGGGGAACCTAGGGGGGGGTAGGGGTAGTAGTCAAACCCAGGATGTTGGGGTGCAGGGTTGAGGGCTGAGAGTTAAGGTGGAATGCGAAGGGTTTAGGGTTTAGGGTTTAGGGTTTAGACATTTTATACTTTCTCTTATTGGGTTTAAGAGGATTACATCGAGGAATATTCTCCAGAGGGTGTTCAGAGCCATGCTAGTTAGACATCATTGGTAGGGACGCAGGAGTGGGGCTTTGGCGTTTGCTGTTTCTACAGTTTTGGGATTTAGCTTGAAGCGCGAAACCCGGCTGCTTAATCCTAAGGTTTAGGGTGTGCACGCTTCTTTGGATCTGGTGTAAGGTTTTGGGTTCACAGCACGTTCAAATACCCCACTCACCCACCCTGCCCCCGCCCATGCCCCCGTGCACCTGCTTGCGCTCCTCACGAAAGTCCTACACGGGGGCCTTTAATTGTAAACTCTGCGACCGCCTCGGTCTCCTAGTCTCCCTGAAGGGATAAGGCATCCTTGAGGAGGTTAGTATCCCTAAACCCTAAACCCTAAACCCTAAACCCTAAACTCTCAGGCGGCCACGCACAGGGAGTCTTACAGGGGGTGTTTAGGGAGTTTCTCAGGGCAAAAAAGGACAGTCGTGGAACCCAAGGCATGGATTAGGGTTTAGGGTTCATGGTTTAGGGTTTAGGGTTTAGGGGGTAGGGTTTAGGGTTTAGGGTTTAGGGTTCAGGGTTTAGGGTTTAGGGTTTAGGGTTCCGGGTTTAGGGTTTAGGGTTTAGGGTTTAGGGTTTAGGGTTTAGGGTTTATAAGGGTTTAGGGTTTAGGCTTTAGGGTTTAGGGTTTAGGGTCCGGGGTTTAGGATTTAGGATTTAGGGTTTAGGGTTTTTTGGTTTTTGGTTTAGGGTTTAGGGTTTAGGGTTTAGGGTTTAGGGTTTACGGAAATACACGACCAAGGAGGGGAGGGTACATAGGGAAAGCAGGGAATATGGGGGTTACGAAAATAGGGGACCCGCAATATCGACCCCCCAATTGCAGGATTTTCTTGTAATAAGGACCCCAATAAGGTACCCCTAATTTCGGACCCCCCCCCCCCCCCCCCCCAATATTTACGGAGACTAACTAGAGCGCAGAGATACAACCATGTTATAACATGTTATAACCGAGTGGCCCCCGACAAAGGGATCTTGACCTGGATCGAGCCCGGATTTCGCGCATGTCTCGACTTGGTTGTTTCTTGCTATCTACGAATGGTTTAAGAACCCCCCCCCCCCCCCCCAAACAAAAAAGAAAACCTTATAAGGGCAACATAGGTTTTCACTGTTCGTTTTTTGAGGGTTCTTCAGCAAAGAGCAGCCATCAGGTGGTGGCAATGATATACTGCGATTGAGATTTAGAGTTGCTCTGACTAGGAACCCTAAACCCCAAACCCCAAACCCTAGACCCGAAGCCCGAAACCCTAAACCCCAAACATTCTCTTAAAATCAGGCTCTCCTGCAAGCCCCATGAATCAAAAACCTCCGTATGGTCAGTTTTCTAAACTATGGCCCTTTCTTTGATGCCCTAAATTCGAGGGGTCGCCTTATAATAAGGAGCCGAAAAGGGACCATATTTTCGAGAATTGACCATATGAATTGTTTCTTTGGAACCCGATCTGGTTTGCTTTCAGAAAAGCGGGGAAAGAGAGCCTAAGCCCCTCATTTCACACCCAAACCCTAAACCCCAAACCCCACACCCTGAGCCCTAAGCCCTAAACCCCAAGTCCCAAACCCCAAACCCCAAAACAATCGCAGAGCTAGAGGACATAGTCCAGACCTCCACGCAGCTCGGCCAGACCACTCACAGCCTGTGGTTTAGGGTTTAGGGTTTAGGCATCCCTGGAAAGATACCCAATGTAGACACTCACCAAATATGTATAAGGGACCTAGTATACCAATATAGAAACAACAAAGCCTAATAAGTTTCTCAAGAAGGCTTGCTTGAATAGCTTGGTCTTTAAGGTATCTCCTAGATCGTGACACTAGGATCCAAGTTTATCAGGGCTTAAACTTTAATTCTGAGCAACTCCACACAAGTTAGGGTTTTCGGGTTGAAGGATGTTGTTTCATTCTTACGGGGTTACGGGTTTAGGGTTGAGGGTCAGGGTTTGGGGTTTGAGGTTTAGGGTTTAGGGTTTAGGGTTTCGGGGCGAGCAGTTCCCAGGTGCCAGAATCTTGATTTCCTGCAAGGACAGGAGGTTCAGTTCAGCTCGGGTTTTTCTCAGGAATATTGCAAAGCATTCATCCTTGTTTTTACGGCCAGTCAGCCCACAACCCCCAAGGACCTATACCATCGAAGATTCGGGTACCAGGACACCTCAGAGCTCAATAACTCTATTTTGTTGGAGTAAGCGAATCACGCATTCCGGCCGTGAAATAAGCTCAATAATCTTAACCCAATCTGAAAGATGCACCGGATGTGGAAGCAAAAGGTTAGAACGTCGGCGTTGTTCTCTGAGCTCTTCACTAACCCCTAATCCCTAAACCGCAAACCCTGAACCCTAAGCCACAACCCCCTTGAGCTGGGCAGCTAGAGATTAGATGGGGGAAAGGGCTCAGGGATCCCACCCCTGACCTTTCTATTTGTGTTTTTCTGTTTGTGGGTTACTTACATGGGGGATGATAGGGTCTAGGGTTTAGGGTGTGGGTTTAGGGTTTAGGGTTAGGGAGTAAGTATTCTGTGAAAAGACCCTG